GGTGAGGCGGGGGAGGAGCCGCTGTGTCCAGAATGGGGAGGAGGCCGCTGCTGCGGATGCTCCCATTGGTTGATCTCAGTGTAGTAAAAATCCTCCTCACTGCGGGAACAGCGCTCATGTTCGCCACCACGGCTGTAAGAGGTCAGAGGTCAGAGGTTATTATTAAACAAATTCCTGCCTTACTGTCAGAAAAACTTTCTGAAGAACAATTTTATATAAATACATTTTTAAAAAATATATGGAAGCCCATTAATGCCAGAAGTTTTATTAAAATGCTGAAATTTCAGGATTTAAAAAATAAATGTAAACATGAACACATGTGTGGGAGCAGCTGTGGTCAGACTTGATATAAAAATGTAAAGATAGAAATCTGAAGTTTTCAAATGTTTCTGGCAGTAACGAGCTTCCATATTTAGCTCGTCCTGAGGCTGAGCAACGACAGAGAATGGAGCCGCCGTCAGGCGAGGCTTACCACAGGTGCGTCGTCCTGATGTGGCGTTTAATTCCCACCACAGACGTCAGCACTTTACCGCAGCTCGGCCACAGACACCTGTACGCCACCTTCACCGAGTTCTGCAGGAGGAAACGCATCATCACCACCGGCAGCTTTCGTGGTCTTCGACACTTCGACGATCAATAAATCGTTTTTCCGTGACTGCTGTAAACCGCCGCTTACCCGGCGTTTCCGTGGTGCTGGCTCATCAAACAGCACCTGGTCCAGCTCCATGTCAACACCCTCATCAGGAGGCGTGGCCGGGGTGGCGTCGGACTCTTTGATTGGCGGGGAAGGAGCTGGGCTTCGGTGAACGTGGCCGACGCTCCAGTAGCCGCTGTCGGAGAGCTCGCCGCCGCCACATTCCATCGAAGCTGCTGAAACAACAAAACCCATCAGAGGGAGAAACGCCTCCAGCCTCGCTTCGTGGAGGAAAAATGTGTTGCTTGTTTGTTTGTTTGTTGTGTACCTGTGAGGTCAGGCTGGGCGGGGCTGTGCAGCAGCGGGCTGCAGGACAAACTGCTGAGAACCATCGCTGCCATCAGCTCGTTCATGTCCACCTCATGAGGACTCCTCTGACTGCGGGACGACAGGAAGCGGCGTTTAAACACGTTTACAGGTAAACGCAGAGTAAACGATAAATAAACACCAGAGGCGGGACCGTCTGACCTTTTTGGGACATCGATGCTGGAGGACACGGATCTGCTGCAGGATGAAGGCGAGCTGTCGACTGAAGACTCACCTGCTCCTCCACACTGGAAATACATCTGCGATCAGACACACACGGCTCACTGTGATTGGCTCAGAGCGCTGGCAGTCAACACAAACCTCCCCGAACAGAAATACGATGTTGAGCTGATGTTGCTCAGCTCAACATCCAGGACCAGCACTCACCTTTAATCCAAGATGGCCGTCTGCTCTGCTTGTCGCTTGCTGTCCCGCTGCCGCCATCGTCACCACAGTCTCACCAGTCTCCAGGTTGGTCCCCGGACAGGTCGAGGTCACGAGTGCCCCAAGAGGAGAACGCTTCCCCAGACGAGCCTTTGGTATCATGTCTGCAAGAAACAAAGGAGTCTCTGTAAGCACCGCCGGGAAGCTGCAGGTGAAGCTGGAAGCGAAACACCTGCAGGACTGCGGCTGGAGGTTCTGGTTCTGTCCTGGAGAGGAACCGCTGCAGAACCAGAACCTCCACCTGCAGCTCGTCAGCAGGACATCACTGTCTGTGTCGGTCACAGATATTAGAGGAGAAATTTATAAACGGTGTTTAATGATTCAGATAAGAAAACCTGAAGGGATCGTGCATGCCCCGCCCACGCCGTGTTGGATTAGGACCAACGCCACACTGTGCACAAACTCACGGCTAA